AAAAATCATTGTTCTCAGTACAGGTTTTTTTTTTTTTTTTTTTTTTTTTGCTTTTTGGGTCACACCCGCCAATGCTCAGGGGTTACTCCTGGCTTTGCACTCAGGAATCACTCCTGGCGGTGCTCAGGGGACCATATGGGATGCTGGGAATCGAACCCGGGTCGGCCGCGTGCAAGGCAAACACCCTACCTGCTGTGCTATTGTTCCAGCCCCATCAGTACAAGTTTTTAATTGAATCTATTTCTATATATTTAGTATCTATATTTCCACAGGAAATGCAAATTGATACAAAGAAAAACTAGTTCACTTATAAAAATAGTTCATTTATAAGATGAACATAGATAGCTTACCTAACAAGATTTTCTTGAGAAAGGTGGTTTGATAAAAATTCAAGGTTTCTGTGTCTGTTTTGGGAATTTGGGGGCCAACATGGTGGTGCTCAGGGGTTACTCCTGGCTTTGTGCTGAGGAATCACTCCTGTGGTGCTCGGGGAATCATATGTGGTACTAGGGATCTTGCTGGGGTTGGCCATTAAGGCAACTGCCTTAACCCCTGTACTACCTCCCTGACCCCTTTAAATGGACAATCTAAATGAATAAAGGAAGAGTGTCTCAAGTTAATTTGCTTTGTTTTGTTTGGGGGCCACATCTGGTGGTGCTCTGGGATCACTCTTAGCTCTGCGTTCAGGAATTACTCCTGGTGGATTTAGGGGACCATATAGGGTGCTGGGGATAGAAACTAGATCGACCGCATGCAAGGTAAAAGTCCTACCCACTGTACTATCACTCTGGACCCGCATGGTCATTTTCTTTCTGCAAATAAACTAATCCAAACAGCATGCAAAAATGTAGCCCTGCAGTTCCAGGTGTGTTCTAGGAGTTTCAGTAGTCACTGGATGTGGGGAGATCCCTGGGAAGGCACAGGCCGCTGACTGCAGCACGAGAACTGTAGCCCATGGGGGGGCTTCTCAGTGCTGACCCACTACAGTGCTCTGTCCCATGACCGTGGATCCCTCAGCTACACTGTAAGTGAGCAAGCCCGAGAGACCCCATCCTGTTCCTCACACATGTAGCTGATATCATCTCTCCCCCCTGGAGCTCTGCCCAGTCCCCAGAGATGTTCTCATGCCCTGAGCGTTTGACGTTGGACCATGTCCAGTTACGGATGGAGTGGGGCAGAGAAAACAACAGGCCCTCTGAGATCACCCCCTGGGCTGATCCTGCCCACAAACGCCTCTCTCCCTTGGAGGAGAGTCAACAACAGGCCCTCTGGAAGGGCTCTTATCGAGCAGACCCTGGAGAAGGAGGTTGGCCGACCATATTGCAAAGCAACAGACCGTCATCCTCCAAGAATTCATTAACCACCGATGCCAGCCCGAGCAGCCTGGAGACAAAACTGCCTTCTGTTCTGCCCACAGCCGTAAATTTCTTCTAAGTAAGCTTTCCCAGCCAGCCCCATGTAATCCCCTGCCCCAACCTGAGAGGAAGGTGTGTGGTTTTAGGACAAGCTGTCCACCATCTTCTCAGGTTACTAGTGCCTGAAGACTTTCTTGTCTCCACATCAACCGTCCACTTCCGAATAACTGACCTTTGAGCAGCAAGCACACAAACTTAGGAACAGTAACACCAGACCTCAAGCAACAACCCACTACTCAACCTGGAGCCCAATCAGCAGCGCTGGCATCTTGAATCGGTTATGTGGTCAGGGGAGGAGGGGATTTGTAAATGAAATGTTATGAGGAAGGGAAGGAGGCAAAGAAAGAGAGAAAAAGGAAGAGAGGAAGAGAGAGAAAGAGGGAGGGAGGGAAAAAAGAATGAAGAGAGGGAGGAAGGAAAGAAGAAGGAAAGGAGGGAGGTACAAAAGAGGGAGGAAGTTGAAGGAAGGGAAAGAAAGGAAGGGAGGAAGGAAAGAGAAAATGGAAAGAGAAGTGAAAGATTAGTAATGGCTCCAGGGCTGGAGCACATATTTTGCATGCTGGAGCTCTGAGCTTGATCCCCCCAGCAGTGCCTGGTCTGCTGAGCACCACCAAGAGTGATCTCCAAGGACTTGGGAGTAACTTCTGATCATTGCCTGGCAGCACCCCTCAAACAAAACAAAAAAGAAAAAAAGCAGGAAAACTCCATCAAAGAAAATTGCAAGATGATACATTTTCTATTGTTGCTAAAAGCAGAGGGTCATGAAGATTGTGTGGCGGTCTCAATGCCTCTTTTGCAGACCACAACACCCAAAAGGAGAGAGAGAACAAAAGGGAATGCCCTGCCACAGAGGCAGGGTGGGAGGGGGGGATGGGGGTGGGAGGGATACTGGGATCAGTGGTGGTGGAGAATGGGCACTGGTGGAGGGATGGGTACTCGATCATTGTATAACTGAAACTCAAGCACAAAAATTTGTAAGTCTACAACTGTACCTCATGGTGTTTCACTAATAAAAAATTAATAAATAAATTTGAAAAAAAAGAAAAGATTGTGTGGCGGCAGGAAAAAAAGCAGAAAAGGAGGAGGCGGAAATCAAGGTGGCTTCATGTCCAATTGCCCTGTTCTTCAACCGTGTGTCTGGAGCTAAGTTGGTCAAGCTCGCATTTCCTCCCACTTGCTCCAGTGTCCTAGCACTGAGGAGTCTCGGCTGATCCCTCTGTGCCCTTCCTTAGCCTCAGGTCAACTTCCGAGCTTCAGGACCATTCCTGTGGTGAGAGAGTTACCTCTTCCAAGGATTTTTATTTCCATTGGGCTCAAGTCAAAGTACTGGAGTTAGCCTTGTAATTAACTGTTTTATTGCGGGGGGTTGGGGGGGGTTGGGGACCACACCCAGAGGTGCTCAGGGAATTGAATTGAGGTTGACTGTTATATAAGGCAAGCACCTCTAACCCCTGTACTATCTCTATGGTGAGCTCTGTAATTAAGAAAAAAAAAAAGTAAAATGACGACCTTTAACATAAACACACATCAAAGGTTTTTACTTAACTCATTCATTAAATGGAGGAACTGTAAATATTAGTTCAGAAGAGAATTTAAAGACCCCACACATTTATTTTACTTGAAGGAAGGCTTCCCATAGAGTAAAGGGAGATAAATCACATCCTCTGGGCAGGGTTTGGGCAGCTGAAGAATGGAGTGTGCCAAAAAATTCCTTTTTCTTTCTTGTCTCCTTCCTTGCTTCCTTCCTTCCTTCCTTCCTTCCTTGCTTCCTTCCTTCCTTCCTTCCTTCCGTCCTTCCTTCCTTCTCTCCTTCCTTCCTTCCTTGCTTCCTTCTCCTTATCTCTTTCTTTTATGTATTTGGGCCATACCCAGTGATGCTCAGGACTTACTATTGGCTCTGCACTCAGGGATCACTCTTGGCGTGGTTCAGGGGACTACGTATGGTGCTGGGGATGGAACCTGGCAAGCACCCTACCCACTGTGCTCTCGCTCAGTTCCTCCCAAATTCCTTAAAACAACAACAATAACAAAAACCTTACTTCTGCTCTGTGCTTAGAGATAACTCCTAGCAGTGCTTAGACTATGAGGTGGTAAGAATCAGCCCTGAGGCTCCTGCTGCAAAGCATGCACTCCAGTCCTTTATACTATCTGTGGTTTTGTTTCCTTTTAAATAGGAACTTGCATGTGGCTGACTGGTTTGATCCCCTACACCACTTCTAGACCTCTGCTCACCACCAGGTATGTGATCCCTGATCAGACCCAGAAGTAACCCAGGAGCATTGCTGGATGCTGCCTCAAACCAAGACGAACAACCTCCCCTCCCGTATCCCCCCCCCCCCCATAAAAGAAAATAAAGAAGTTCTTTTGGGGGGAGATACACAGCCATCATGCTCAGGGCTTACTCCTGGGTCTGTTCTCAAGGACGATTCCTAGCAAGGTCCAGGAAACTCTATGAGACATCAGGACTCAGGATTTTATGAGGAGCCTGGGCCTGAACCCATAAGTGGTGCAAGTGCCAGACTGCTGCAGCTATACTATGTCCCCAGCCAGAGAAAGTTTTTTATAACAATGTGCAGGGCTTATTAGTAGCAACAGGGTCAATCATGGCAGGTACCAGTGACCATTTTTGTTCTGTTTCTTCTGGCATTTGCTGGCTGCTTTGAACAAGTGAAAAACATTTTGAGTCTGAATTTCATTAAATGAAATTTTTTATTAGCAGTCTGTTTTGGGACCCCATCTGGCTGTGCTCAGGGCTTACTTCTGGTGGGGCTTAGGGAACCCTATGTGGTGCTGGGAATAGAATTTGGGTCAGCTGTGTGCAAGGCAAATGGTCTTTCTCCAGCCCCCGTCTCAGTTCTACACTCCAGCTTGTAGAACCACTCCAAATTTTTGCCAGGAAACTAATATACAGTTCAAACAGAGAGAGAAAGACAGACAGAGAGAGAGAGAGAGAGAGAGAGAGAGAGAGAGAAATGCATATGCTAATACGTTAATTATGACATAAGATAATCTCCCTAACTCGATTAGGGATGTTTAAGGTAATTTTCAGGTTGCTCCCTTGTTTATGGTTCAAGTTTCCTTGCTGCACTGAAAGCATCAGGAGGGATGCTAGCGCGCATTCCTCACACTGTCTAGCTCATGCCTAGTACAGAAGGCGCGGAAGAGCTGAACGGCGGATGGACCTTTGAACTAAGGAGAGAGTCTGGGGCTGAGGAGCGCTAAGGTCATTACCTGAACGCGCCCTACTCAGCCTCCCCAAGAATCCCAGGACAACCCAAAGCCCCAGCGCGCGGCTGACGCGTGCGTACTGGTACGTGGTACTGACTTCAGTGTGTGTGTGTGTGTGTGGGGGGGGGGGGGGGGGGGGCGGGGGGGTAAGAAGGGGGTGGGGGCAGAAAGCCGACGGAGCGCCTGCGCAGTGCAGGCGGGGAGGGCGGAGAGTGGGCGGGGCGGGGCGGCCGTGGGGGCGGGGCCTTGGCTGCGCCTGCGCAGGCGGCGGGAGCCGGACGGGGCGGGTCCGGGGGGCGGGCCGAGGGCGTGGGCCGGGAGGCCGGCGGGGCGGGCCGGACGAACCGCGCCGCCGGGTTGGCTGCTGCCCCGAGGCCGGACTCAACGGATTCGGGCCGCGCCACCGGGCGAGCTCGCCGCCCCGGCCCCGCCGTCCGGAGCTGAGGAGCGAGCGAGGCGGCGCCGCACGGTAAGCGCCCGCGCGCCGCCGCGTCCCCCGGCTGTGCGGCGCGGGGATGGACGGTCCGGCCCGTCGCCGCCCGCGCGGCCGGGCCCAGGCGGCCCCGCAGACCCCAGCGGGCCCCGCGCCTGCGCCCTCCCGCGCTGGGCCCCCGGCCCTCCTGCGCCTGCGCCGTCCCCCTCGGTGGAGGACCCCCCCCCACTCCCACGCCCATCCCTACCCCGCCGCACTCTCGGGCCCTGGGTGTGTGGGCTGGCCCTGGCCGGTGCCGGGGCTGAGCGGGTGTCCCCTTCTCCAGTGCCCCCCGCGCTGGGCGCAGGGGCCGGGCGCGACCCCCTCGCGCTTTGCTTTCTCTGCGCCGCAGTTCAGGCCTGGGCCGCCGCCCCACTGCCCGTTCCTTGTCCCACAGCCTGTTCTGCAGCGCGGGGCGGCGGGCTGTGGGCACCCCCCACCCGCCCCACCCCCGAGTGTGCTGCAGCTGGTGCTTCCGCAGCCCACTGGATTGTGTCCGCTCCCCCCACCCCCTCCCCAGCCCTCCGAAACCCGCACAACTTGGGGGTTCTGCTGGGGACAGGTTCCCCCCAGCCTGGTAATGGTTGTCAGCGGTTAAGTCAGGGGCATCCTAGTTGGTTCGGGGCAGCGCCCCTGGACAGGACTGGGTTGCGGGGTGGGGTGGGGTGGGGGTTGGGGGGAATGTTCCTTTTCCGCTTCATCTCAGTCCATTGAGCCTGTGGGGAGAGAAAGAGACGCTATGATCTTACTGCCGCTGGGAACCCCCAGTTTACTGCGGCCCTTGGTCATTTGCTGGCAGGTAAGGGAGGACCCAGGAAAAATCCACACCCCCAGCTACCAGGACCACCGCTGCTCTGTCCATCACAGGGTAGGGAGAAAAATGGGAGAAAAGAGCCACGGGTGGTGATCCCCAGCTCACAGCAGGCTCGAGAAAAGAGTGGCTGTGGCAGAGCCCAGCCGTGTTTGCTGTCCCGCAGGAGATGAAAGCCGAGCTGGGGCATTGGGTGGGTGGGTAACGAGGCAGCCCAGCGCTGGAGGTCTGGGGTGCAGTAGGAATCCGGGGGTGCGGGGGAGCCCCTTCCTACAGAGGAACGACTAGTGCAGTACTTAATGCAGTACTTAGCATTTTCTCTGAAATCCTTTCTCCCTTGACGGGACTCTTCTTTGGGAGGTGGGAGGCTCATCAGTAAGAGTAATTGGGTCTGGAGAGGTATTACAGGGATTAAGTGCTTGCCTTGCATGCTGCTGACCTGGTTTGATTCCCCCGTACCACGTAGGGCCCCCAACGAGAGCGTCCAGAAGTGATCCCTGAGCAGAGAGTCAGGAGCCAGATATGGCCCAAGAACAAGAAAGAAAAATGGAAAATGAATATTGTGCCCTGGAAAGGCTTTTATCCATTATCCTTAACAGGCACAGCATTGCAGTGCGTGGGGAGGGATTTTAGCCATTGAGGTTAATGTGAAGTTTGTATCAGAATTACGACTTTAAGCCAGACGGTGGGTGTCTGCAGTATTTGGAGATACAGCTTCTTCCAAGCAGAAGGTTTCTTTGTGTTTATGTTGTGATGGACCCAACATTGGTCCTCTTCCATCTTGATGGACTCACTTCTCCGCTTCAGATTTAGGTTTTCCGACACTTGGACCCACATTTGAACCCTTTGGCTAGTGTGCGTAGAGTGTGTAGACTGTCCCTCTCAGCAGAGGCCGTGCCAGGGGGTTGGATCTGCTTCAAGGCCAGCCAGCAGGTTTTCCTTCTGGGACCTTTTTTCCTCTCTCACAGTACGGGGATGAGGGAGGAGATGGAAGGGAGCTTTCATATGCCAGTTTTAGCAGTTACTGGGTCCCTGTCTACAAAATCTTCCTTGGGCAGGGTTAGAACTGGGTCTTCTCACCTGGCCTGTGGCGTTGTTGTGTGGGCTTTTATATCCCAGCATCATAAAGTTAGAGCAGAACTGGGTCATGCTCCTGAAAGGGAGCCATCAGTAGCCCTATGTACCGAGAAAAACGAAGCTTATTTCAAAAAAATGAGTCATTTTCTTGGTGTTAAAATAGGTATATTTAATATGTGAAACTGGTGACAGTGAATGGTGGTGAATGGCAAATTGGCAGGAACATGCTTCCCTGTGGTTGCAGTTGTTAGTGCTGAGTGGACTGGTTGCTGAGGTAACGAAACCCCCACTGGGGTTGTCTGTCGACTCAGAAATCTTCACATAGTGGCCTCAGTTTTATGCTGTGAAGCAACATAACCATCAAGAAATCAGGTCTACAGATCAGATCGTGGTCTGGTTATGCTAGGACCATGTTTCTCAAAGAGGGCAGTAAGCCTCCTGGGACGATCCTGGGGAACATAATAGCTTTGGGTGCTTTTGGGGAGTACTGTGTCATTTGTTTTTCTCAAAAGGGAGCTGTAGGCTATAAAGTTTGGGAACCGTCTTGCTAGAAGTATCTGTGGATTCTCCCAGAGGACATGTTAGAGAGGATCTTGATATCTGTGAAGTCTTTAAAACTTGTGGTGTTCTTCAGGAGTGATCTCTGAGCACAGAACCAGGAGTCAGCCCTAAGCTCTACTGGGTGTGGCATATAGATTTAGGGTCTTTTTTTTTTGTACTTACATATCTAAAGTATCAAAATGGGTTTTTTGATCATACGCCATACATTTTGAAAGTGTTGAATTAAAATTAATAATGCAAGCTCTTAAAACACTTCATAATGCACATGTCTGTATTCAGAGGATTGCTTTTTTCATCAGAGCCTTCTCCATTTTCAGAAAATAATGTTAATTGCTTACAGGAAATTTGTGCAGATCTGTTCAGAATTTTTCTTGACCTTCCTGTAGATATGTCTTCATTGTAGTTTTTTCTTTGCTTTTTTTGGTTAAATCTTGAAAGTTTGTTTCAGCAGTTTTTCTTTTTTTAAAAGAAAAATTAAAGGAATTTAGGGGCTGGAGTGATAGCACAGTGGGTAGGGCGTTTGCCTTGCACACGGCTGACCCAGGTTCAATTCCCAGCATCCCATATGTTCCCCTGAGCACTGCCAAAGGTAATTCCTGAGTGCATGAGCCAGGAGTGACCTCTGTGCATGACCCCCCCCCAAAAAAAAGGAATTAAAAAAATTTTGGGTCACACCCAGTGATGCTCAGGGGTTACTTTTGGCTCTGTGCTCAGGAATTTCTCCTGGTGCTGCCTGGAGACCACATGGGATTCTGAGTATTGAACCTGGGTCAGCCGTGTGCAAGGCAGTCTCCCCACCCACTGTACTATTCCGCTGGCCTCTTTGTATGTCTTCTCAAAATATTGATCTGTTCATAGTCACCACCCCATCCCACCCACCATTACATTTTTTAAATTGCTTCTGCTATCTTTGTAATCAAACCCACCTTAGCTTGGTATTCAGAACACTTCATCGCGGGTCTTTCCCTACCTCTTTTGGTGCTTCATTGAGCTTTGCTGAACAACTCTTGATCCTTTGAACTGTATCCAGTTTCCTTGTCCCTCTCTGCTGGAATGTTCTCATTTTATCTGCTTATCACCTTCAAACCCAGGTCAGATCTTATCTTGCCTGTCTCCTGTAGTCCTTTTCCTATGTGCCCCCTCGCTCCCCACATGCCCCCTCCAATTAGGAGCTGACTATCTTTTGTCTGTGACCCCTCCCAGCTGGTGACATACCGTGCATAGCGAAGTGTGTGGCCTGGCAGAAAGTTCCTGTGTCTGCTGGCTGCTATATAGCACTACAGAGGAAGCAGACCGCTTAGTTCTGCCCTCAAGGAGCCTTTCAGTCCAGGTGCGCCACTTAACCTGGTCAGTTGTGAAACACCTCTCTGCAATGTACACCAGCTTGCAAAGTCTGATTAATTGTATCTTAGTGGGTAATTCAAGTCTTATTTCCTGAAGAAGATACTCTATCTAATGTCCACTTTGTTGTCCAGAAACCAAGTAGGCAATTCCACCCTGCAACTGTGGAAAGAATGTGCTTTTGGAGAAGATTACTACCCACTTTCCTCTTGTATGCCTTCCACCTTGTGTTTTTGTTATGTGGTCAGGGTTTTCTTTTTCTTTTTTTTTTTTTAATGTTTGGACAATAAAGGTTTAAGAGATTAAGATATTAAATTTCAGGTTTTTCTATTGTGCATATAGTGTAAGGGAAACAGAAAAGGAGAAAAGTACTTTGTCTCCAAAAATATTCCCATATTACAATTATTGCATGATTTTTTTTTCAGTGCCAGGTTTTGAACCCAGGGTCTTCATACAGTCAAGATAGTGTTTTATGTTGGGGTCCATCCCAAGTATTATAATTTTGAAACTCTTAATTTGTTTTTTTTTTAAAAAACTAACTTACACTTAAAAAAAGGGCTGGAGCGATAGCACAGCGGGTAGGCCGACTCGGGTTCGATTCCTCCATCCCTCTCGGAGAGCCCGGCAAACTACCGAGAGTATCCCGCTCACACGGCAGAGCCTGGCAAGCTCCCCGTGGCGTATTCACTATGCCAAAAACAGTAACAAGAAGTACCACAATGGACACGTTACTGGAGCCTGCTCGAGCAAATCGATGAACAATAGGACAGTACTCCAGTGCAGTGCTGCACTTAAAAAAGAGAACAAAAATCTCAACACCTCTGGGGCCAAGTAGTGTTTGTATTGTTGAGCTCTGGCGTAGACCTGGTTGGCAGAATATCACTGGGAGAGGTCAAGGAAAGAGACATGCAAAGAAATTTAGCAGCACTGTTGAGATTTGTGAAGAAACACTGATTCAGAATGAAAGTTGCCCCTTTCTTCTTTTCTTCCTTCTCATATTTTTGGGAAAAATCCCAAGTTCTCTATCTTCCAGTGACATGTCCATCAGGAATTCCTGAGGCAAAATATTGGAGCTGCTCTTTTGCAGAAAATTTTTAATAGCATACTTTCTCCAAGGTGACGTTCCCTAAACCCGCACCCATATCTTGGTATCTTCTTTCCTTTGTGCTTTGCTTTTGCCCTGCCTGACCCAAGGATTTTTGAGCAG